AATGATTTTTCTGTATTTATTCATATATGTATTTTTTGTGGGCATCTCTGGTTGTTATCTTAGGATCAACATCTACAAATGAAGGTAAAGGGTCAAAATGTATAAACATTTTTAAGCCTTCTAGATCCTATTTCTGAATTTCCAGAAAGAGAAATTTGACCTGTATACAGTGCCTCCCCACCCCTGGCTGTGCAAGAGTGTCCCTTGAGGCCCAGAGAGGTTAAGTAGCTTGCCCAAGGTCACACAGGTAGCAGGTGGTGCAGCTGGGATTTGAACACAAGCTCTGTGGCCCAGGTCCTCACCAGCATATTTTATTGCCTCTAAGTTCTAAGTTCAGCAATACAACCCCACTTACTCTGCTTTACTTATTTTTTTAAGATTTAATTAATTTATTTATTTGAGAGAGATTGAGTGCGAGCACAAGCAGGGGGAGGGACAGAGGGAGAAGCAGTCTCCCCACCAAGCAGGGAGCCCCATGCAGGACTCCATCCCAGGACCCTGGGATCACGACCTGAGCCGAAGGCAGACGCTTAATGACTGAGCCACCCAGGTGCCACTGTTGGACATTCTTTTGTTTTGGTTTGGTTTGGTTTGGTTTACATACATTTTTACCTATTAAAGCTATTATTCCCTGTCTTATGTATATATATGTCCTTCGGCTTCTCGTCTTGTTTGTTTTGTTTTAATAGATGTTATTTTTTAGAGCAGTTTTAGGTTCATACAAGAATTGAGAGGAAGATAGCGGGATCTCCCATATACCTCTTGCTCTGACACATGCATATCTTCCCTCGTTATCAGCATCCCACCCCAGAGGGTACATTTGTTACAACTGATAAACCTACATCAACAAATTATCACCCTGAGTCCATAGTTTACATTAGAGCTCACTCTTGGTGTACATCCAATGGGTTTTAACAAATGTGTAGTGACATATATCTAACATTATAGTATCATACAAATATGTAAACCAAACCAAACCCTTGAATAATGTGGTGGTTAGAGGTGCCAACCCCCCGCACGCTCAAAAATCCACATATAACTTTTGACTCTCCAAAAACTTAACTACTAATAGCCTACTGCTGATCGGAAGCCTTACCAATATCATAAAAGATCAATTAACACATATTATATATATATATTATATATTGTACTGTTACAATAAAATAAGCTAGAGAAAATAAAATGTTATTAAGAAAATCATAAGGAAGAGAAAACATACGTACAGTACTGGACTGAATTTATGAGAAAAAAATCCGCTTGAAGTGGACCCATGCAGTTCAAACCTGTGTTGCTCAAGGGTCAGGGGCAGCTTGCCTCCCGGCAGACTCCTGAGGGGGAAATTATTTGCATTAATTTATTGATTGACCAATTAATTCAAGACACTATGCTCGGGACCTACCACTGGGGTTCCACGGGTTCAAACTAGAGCCAAGTTGATGGAAGCCTTGGGTCTCCTTGGCGTAGTGCCTGTGTAGACATGACTGTATGGCCACCTCGGTCACCTAGCGTGACATCTGTTTCCCCATCAAGACCCGTTGCCATGAGGGAACGACTGTATCTTGGTGGCTTCTGCATCACCAGCTCCAGGCGTGGTCCTGGCAGAGAACACATGGTCATTTAATCCTCGAGCCTGGGATGAACGTGCAAAATGTCTGTGAACTTTGAAGCGGTGGAAAAAGAACAGTAAAGAAATAAGATCTGGGGGAAATTGAAATCAGCACAGTTTTTATTTTTTATCTGTTTACACGTGGAGAACAGTTTGGTTTTAAGAATATTCAAATGTGCCGTGTGTAATTTGGGTTGTTCATAAAATTATTATGTGTGGTGCATTAAAATGAAACGGATGGTTTATTTAGGCAATCTCTCCCGAAATACTACAAGTTAAAAATGTGTCATAGATAGAGCCAGAAAGACGCTAAACTCCAAGGAATGTAGCATCTCTTAGTTTTGGTTGTTTTCTGAGGATATCACCAAAATGCAGAAACAGAAACAAAAAAGAGCAAAACGAGCATGGTCACAGCTGAACACAGGGAGTTCTTCGTCACCTGGTAACCCGGGCCACGTCAGGTGGTTGGAGATTAAACCGGGCCTCGAGTTCTCCGCAGCAGCAGCAGCTCCTACGGAGGAGGGCGGTGTGCGGGTCCCCACTCCCTGAGTCAGGCCCGCCCACCAGTTGCTTTGGCCAATGGGATGTGGCGTGAGTGACGTAGGCGAGTCCAGACCCGGCAGCAGGTGCCTCCTGGCTTGCTCCCATGTAAGGAAGCCCAGGCACAGGAGGCAAGGCACCACGAGGGGAGAGAAACCCGGCCGACGGTGGCAGCACAGCCCCCAGACCTTGTGGACCGAGGCCATTTCAGCACCCCCACCCCCACCCCGCCCCTGCTCCAGCTGCGTGAGCGCCCAGCAGAGCCCCTGACTCAGCCCCGCCCAGCCAGAACTGCGAGCAAGTAAGAGGGCTTGTTTTTAAGTTGCTAAGTTTTGAAATCATTTGTTACTCGGCAACAGATAACTGGTGTATATATAGGAAGGGTCTCTTTTCAGAGAAAGCTTGACCTCCAAAACTGTTGTGGTTCTCAAGGTCAAAGAGGCATCGGGGCCAGATGTTAACATTTTTAAATTTTAAGATATCCAAACTTCTAAATTTGCCCTTGTTTTTCTTCATCCTGAGCCTTTTGAGTCGGCTGAAACAGTAAGTCGATGGAACCCCAGTGGTAGGTCCCGAGCATAGTGTCTTGAATTAATTGGTCAATCAATGAATTAATGCAAATAATTTCCCCCTCAAGAGTCGTGAAAGGGTATAAGCAGCCTCTGCCTGGAGGCAAGCTGTGCCTGGAAGGTGTGTAGTGGACCCTCTCTCTGGGGCCCTTTCCTGGTTTGAAATTGGCTCCTTCCCCTCCAGGGAGGCTGTGCTCCCGGCCGCAGCAGTGGAGAGGGGAGTCTTGGGGAGTCTTCCACCCACGACTGTGCCAGAGTGAGTCTCCGTCCTGGCTCTGTTTTCTGGAAAGCTTGGCCCGCCACATGGGGTGAGCGGGCCGCAGCAGTGTGTTGGCAAGGGCGTGCAGGTTTTGGAGGGTGGTGCTGTGTGCATGTGGTGGTGGGGAGGCTGGAGGAGGGGGCTGGAAATAATGCCATCCTTTGGGGGCTCCCCCTCCAGCCAGGTTTGGAGGCGAGCCCAGGATGGGCCGGCCGGCCTGGGAAGCATGCAGAGCCCATGATCTCCCAGCCGCTGGGGCCTCATTGTTCAATAAGGAGATTATGAGATGCTGCACAAGTGGCCTGGTGGGGGGCTGTCTTCAGGCCTGCCACGGGCCTTGTTTTGCACACAATGACTGTGTAGTGCAGCCCGGTCAGGGTCCACTCTGGAAGGCGGCGACTGCCTCAGCCTTTTTGGGTCCAAGTTTGCTGCATGGCCACAGTGGATCGGCTCATCTACCTCCCTTCCCATCCGCTACCTGTCTGTCCTGTTGGAAGGCCCAGGGGCCCCCACGGAAATGGCAGGACCAGGCTCAGCCCACTTCCTGACACAGGGAGGGAAGAAAAAGCATCCTACACACCAGGACCGTTATTGTTCTAGAAGCAGCAAAGGTTTAAAAAACCAGTCTTTCTCTTTGAGGAAGCTCCAAGTTATGAGGGACTGTGCTCAAACCACCCAGAGTGGCTTTGTGGAGAGACCTGGTGCCTATTGGAGGAAGAGGTGCCTTGGGATTAATCGCCTCCGACACTTTTATGCTCTGGGCTAGAACAGAGAGACATGATAAAGCAATCACTGTGGAATCTCGGTAGGATGCTGGGGTTGGGGCCTGGAACTGATGCATGCTTTACTCTGGTTACGTTTTAGTGGGCATTTGCTAGATATTGCTGGTAAATCTCAAGAGATGGCATTTAACCTATGGTACGGCTGAACCCATGTAAGAAAATATTTTGCAACTAGGGTTTTGAACAAATTTGTAAACTAAAAAAAAAAAACAAAAAAAAAACAGAATAGGGCCCCTGGGTGGCTCAGTCGGTTAAGCGTCTGCTTTTGGCTCAGGTCATGATCCCAGGGTCCTGGGATGGAGTCCTGCGTGGGGCTCCCTACTTGGTGGGGAATCTGCTTCTCTCTCTGCCTCTCCCCCTGCTTGTGCTCGCACACACTCTCTCTCAAATAATTAATTAAATCTTAAAAAAATAAATTAATTTAAAAAAACAGAATAAGTGGGGTTGTGTTGCTGAACTTGGAACTTAGAGGCAATAAAATATGCTGGTGAGGACCTGGGCCACAGAGCTTGTGTTCAAATCCCAGCTGCACCACCTGCTACCTGTGTGACCTTGGGCAAGCCACTTAGCCTCTCTGGGCCTCAGTTCCTCCTCTGTACAGGAGGGGTAATGACACGACTCATTTCAAAGGATTATTGTGAGGATATATGTAATAAATGCACATGAGGAGTGGTTAATACAGGGCCAGGCTCAGACTGTTTAATAAATGTTCATTATGCGTATTATGAGTATCAATAACCCCCATGTTTTCTAACTGAACCATAAACGGAACCAGGGTTTTTTCAGGAAAATAGTGAACTTAACGGGACTTAAATGGAAGCCCCATGCTGTCTAAAGTGGTCACGAAACAGCTTCCCGTAGAGAGCTCTGAGGACCAGGGTGCCCAGCGCCCAGTGCTCTGCCGCTGTTGATCCCGCACAAGACCCCGGCATTATCCTCACTTTGCACCTGGGGACACAAGGCTCAAAGGGGCTGGGTGACCTGTCAGGGTGAGCTCATCTGTCATTAGGGCAGCTTACTGCCTTGGTTGACATGGGATGCACTTTCACCGTAACCATGCGTCCCCTTCCACACGAAAATGGGACTCATTCATTCATTCATTCACGGTGTCTGTGGAGAGCCCGTCACCTGCGTGGCGCCTCCAGTCCTGTCTGTGTGTGTTCGTGCCTGGGCCCATGTTGAAATGTCTCCCCCACACCCTCCCTGCCCCGCCCCCGTGGCCATGACACGACCTCCCCCACCAGCTCCCCGTCCAGTGCCGATGCCCACCTGCGGTTCCCGGACGGCACCGGCCTCCTGCAGACCCCGCGCTGGGACGAGCCGCAGAGGGCCTGTGCCCTGGAGCAGATCTGCGGCGTGTTCCGTGTGGACCTGGGGCAGATGCGCTCCCTCCGCCTCTTCTTCAGGTGAGAGCCTCTCTGGGCAGCTTCCTGGAAGGTGGCTAGTGGTGCAGGGGTCCCGGCGGGCGGGGCTTTGGGTCCAGGGACAATGCTGGCCTTCCCAAATGTTTGCTTCCCGACATCACTAAGCTGGAGAGCAATGGTCCCCCACGATGGCTGCTCCCAGGAACTGGGTCGGGGCAGCTACCAGCCTCCTCCACCTGACCTCAGGGTGACAGTGGCCTGCTGTGGCTTGAAACTCTGGCTTGGAGAACAGCCAGATGGGGGCCGCACAGAAAGCAGCTACAGGCTTCTCCCAGTTACCCACGGAGAGGCTTTGCAGCTCGGCCTGTGTGTGCAGGACGGGGCCCTGGCTTTCCGGAGGGAGGCTCTCCTTTCTCATGGTGGGCGGACTAATAGTGTCCTGTCTCGTGGCCACATCAAATCTCTCCTGAAAAGCACAGCGGCCCAGCCACAGAATAGCCCCAACTGAAGACCTGTGCTCGAAGCAGGTGTGTCCCCAGAGGGTCCCAGACCCGGAGCCACATTCTGGCTGTTTACGGAAGGGCAGGCAAGGTTGGGCTGATGGCCCTGTTGGATGTGCAGTGAGTTTCCCTGGACGATTCTCCCTGAGTGAGAGGAGGAGTCCATCCCAGACCAATGGAGGAGGCTCTCTCAGGGCCCGCCCCACCTGGGTTCAAAATCTGATTCCACCCAACGCCAGCCACCCCTGGATCTCCCGGACAGGAAGGAGCATACGGGGGAGGGTACGCAGGGCCGCAAGGGCAGTCCTCCTTTCCGGAGTCCCCAGGAGAGGGCTCTTTTCCTTCTGCAGCCAAGCGGGTGGTGGGTTCCTTGCAGGTGTAGTGCTGTCCCCCTGCAGCCAGCAGCCGAACTCCAGGGGCCTTCTTGTTTCCTGCCTCTGAGGTCAGTGATAGGGGTCTCTGATTATACTTGGAAATCAAAGCCGGGGTTTCCATCTTCATTGCCCTGTTCCCTTCCCCTGCCGCGGCCGCCCAGTGATGAGGCCTGCACCAGCGGCCAGATGGTCCTCGCCAGCCGCGAGAGCCAGTTCAAGGTTTTCCATTTCCACCACGGCGGCCTGGACAAGCTGTCCGACGTGTTTCAGCGCTGGAAATACTGCGTGGAGACTCACCTCAAGGACCAGGTAGCCCAGGGGGGCGGAAGGGCGGTGCCGCGGGGGGGCGGGTAGGTGTCGTGAGGCCCGCCCCCCGCGGGGGAGTCCAGGGCTCCCCCCCCCCACCCCGCACAAAGGCCTCACAGGGTGTGACCTCGGGGGCCCCTGGCAGTCCGTGGTCGCTGTGGGGCCGGCAGAGTGGCAACTTCGGATCTGAAGCAGGCCCAGGTCTTGTAAAGTCAGTGCTTTGCACTTGAAAAATCATGTTTTGACAAGGCTTCCTGCCATATTTTGCTCAATCTACATACAAATGTAATAAGAGCTCTTTAATTATCTGTTCAAGATACTGTATGTGCTTATTAGAAAGGGGCTGACTTTAAGATCCCCTTCCTTCCCACAGAGCCTCCTGCTGGCTCTCCTTATTACAGTAGTATGGCTTGCTTTTCCCCCTACATCGAGCAACCTTTGATTTTTGAATTAAATGTCAGCTGCAGTTTTGCCCTGGATTCGTGACTGCCCGTGGAGACAACCTGACAGGCGGGCTCCCTGCTCGGGGAACAGCGGTCTCTTTGTTTGTGGCCAATCACATGTAATTTATTGTAGGCCCTCCCGGCAGAGGGAAGTTGGGCCATTCGAGGCATTAATTCCGTTTTTTGCGGCCGGCTGGGGGTCGTGGAGGGAAGGGGGGGGCTGGCGGGGGGGGGCGCCGTGGTCCATCGGTTGGTCGGTCAGTGGGAGTGGGCCGGGGGAGCCCAGCGACCCGGGAAACCGATGTTAAGATGAAGGTATTTTCATTTTAATTGCATCTAATTACACTTGCCATTTAGGGGTCTGTATGCGGGGAGAGCGGGTCCCCCTCCTTTCGGGGTGTGGTGGGGAGAGAGGGGGGCTTTTCTGTCCTGGGGAGAGCGGGCCGGCTTCGGGGGCCCGCCCGCCAGGTGCTTATCTCCTGGAGTTTCCGGACTCCGTCCGGGCCAGCAGGTCACTGACGAAAAGACGTGCATGCAGTTCTCCATCCGACGCCCCAAACTGCCCTCCTCCGAGACGCACCCTGAGGAGAGCATGTACAAGAGGCTGGACGTGGCGGCCTGGCTGCGCCACCTGAACGAGCTGGGCCAGGTAGAGGAGGGGTACAAACTGCGCAAGGTAAGCCGGGGGCACCCAGGGCCGCCTCCTGGGAGGCTGCCCCCTTGTGTGAACACGCCCGCCCGATAAAGCAATCAAAGGCTCGGCGTTGAAAAGGAAACCTCGGGAGCGGGCTTGGGGGACCCGGAGTCAGGCTGCATAGAACAGCTCGCAGTGAAATGCAGCGCTTCCAAAACCGGGATTAGGCCATGACGTGAGAACGACACGTTAATCTGAGCGCCACACCAGGGTGGGCATTGACATTGAAATGAGCCTGGCTGTGTGCTGTATGGGAATGGAGGGCCGCCACTTTCCCTCCAAACATGTGCAAATCACAGCGACCTGAATCAAGGCATCAGCTGTCACCGAGGCGCAGCAAAGCCCCCAAAACACAAATCTCCGGGGGCTGGGGGTGCTTTGAGCCGCCCTGTGTTGGCCCCTCCCCAACTCTGGCCGCTTCCTGCAGGCCATTTTCTTCGGCGGCATTGATGTGTCAATCCGGGGGGAGGTCTGGCCCTTCCTGCTGCGGTATTACAGCCATGAGTCCACGTCGCAGGAGAGGGAGGCACTGCGGGCGCGGAAGCGCCGGGAATACGCCGAGATCCAGCAGAAGAGGTAAGGGCCGCCCGCCCCGGCCTGGCCCCCGGCGGGAGTCAGCCGACCCGGCGATTGGTGGCACAACCCCGCACTGATAATATGTTCCGTGACCCAGACTTTCTTTGGAAAATGGGTCCCAGGCACGGAGTGATAGGCTTGGATAAGAGTCGGCGTTATCCCCGGCGCTCGGCCTGGGGCTGCGGTGCTCCTTGCTCCTCAGCGCCGTGTCAGGGTTTGAGAGCTTGTTCTCACAGACTGAGCTAGGCACCGACGCCCAGCCGGGAACACTGGGCAGGAGCCGACGGCTGAGGTCTCTCTTGGCCCGGCTGAGCCCAGGCCAAGGCCCGCTCTGCTCCCCGACACTGGATAACCAGCCCCCCCAAGTTAGTGGGGAACCGGAGGGTTTGCCGCTGGCAGCAGCCCAGCCCCCATCAGGAGCAGGGGTGGGGAGGGACGGGCCCTGCCTGGAGCATGTGTGTGCGTGTGCGTGCATGCATGTGTGTGCACACGCGTGCTGCTCGCGGAGCCCCCGGCCGGCGCTCCTCTCTGTGCCAGGCTCTCCATGACCCCTGAAGAGCACAGAGCGTTCTGGCGCAACGTGCAGTTCACCGTGGACAAGGATGTGGTTCGGACGGATCGGAGCAACCAGTTCTTCCGAGGTGAAGACAATCCGAATGTGGAGAGCATGAGGTACCTGCCCTCCCCAGCCAGCGAGGTTCTCCCGGAGGGGAGGAGAGCCCTCCCCCCCCACCATTCCACTTCCTCACCTGCCACTCTGGGTCACCTTACCCCTCGGACTCCGCCGGCCTTCTGGGAAGAAAAGGAACAGTAGCAGGGGTGGGGTCTGTCTTCCAGGTCCAAAAGCAGAGGCTCATTAGCTACTTTAGGCAACATCAGTCCACGTCTTGTGGCTGGTCCCTCCCCAGGGTGCCAGCAAAGCCTCCCATCCCCTGGGCCTCCACCAAGCCTGGCTTGCTTGGCTCCCACCAGCCCTGGATGAGCCTCCCTCTGAGCCTCCCAACAAGTGGTCCTCCGGCCGATGAAACCACACAGAGCCCGAGACTTGCATCTCTGACATTCTGCCACCTGGCAAATGATGGCACAAAATTCGCAGCCCGTACAAATGTCCCCGCGCACCCATCCTTTGTCACAGGTGGGCAGCCACCATTAAGAAAATCAGACCCACATACTCTCTTTCCCCTGCCCTGGAGGTTTGGGCCTGGCCAGGGGCTCCTGTAGGCCACTCCATTTCCCCAGACCCTGAAGACAGTGCCCAGGGCTACCTTCCTTGCCCTGAGATTGAGGTGAAGGGGGCGCATCCTGGCAGCCTGGCGTCTCCAGCCTGGGCAACACGCCACCAAGAGCACAGCAGGGGTGGGCTGCTTTGAGGCCCACTCTCACTGACTCCCTGCTCTCTCTGCCCTGCGTCCCCAGGAGGATCCTGCTGAACTATGCCGTATACAACCCAGCCATCGGCTACTTTCAGGGCATGTCAGACCTTGTGGCACCCATCCTGGCCGAGGTCCTGGACGAATCAGACACCTTCTGGTGCTTTGTGGGTTTGATGCAGAACACGATATTCGTCAGCTCTCCTCGAGACGAGGACATGGAGAAACAGCTGGTGAGGCTGGGCCGTGCGGGTTAACAGTGTGCTGGGGGAGAGCACGCCGCCTCCTGCCCTTGCTGCCCAAGGTCTCGGTGGCCACGTGTGGCGTGGCTGCTATGGGTCAACAGGCAGAAAAAGCCAGGGTGGGCATTGCCAATGGGGCCTGGGGCCTTAGCCGTGGGCCTCTGCTAAGGCCAAGCTCTGTGGGAGGAATGCACGTTATTCCTCAGTCCCACGACACCTGCTGCCATCCCCACCCCATGCTCCCTGAAGGCTGGGCTGTGGGGGGCGGTCCCTCCCCTGGTGGAGGAGTGAGGAAGGGGAGGCCCGTCACACCTGGCCCTGTGCTTTACAAGATGGGTCCCCAGGTATATCTGGGCTGCTCCCTGCAAGGTTCCAACATAGGATGCAGGAATAGGAGGGGCTCCTGAGGCCCTCCTGGGCAGTCGCCACGCCCCATCCCAGGCCCAGGCCTCCCCTGCAGTGCCCAGCCAGCACACCCCCTCCTCATGGCCTCCCCTCACCTGCACAGACCCAGCAGCTCTGAAGATTGGGGGGGAGGGGGACAGGCAGAGCTGGTAAGGCAGGGCCAGGAGCCTTCAGTCAGCACTCGAGGCAGCTCCTGTGTGTTCCAAACACCTGCCGAGTGCCGGGTAGAGGGCACTGGGCTGTGGTCTTGGCTCTCCAGTCCCAGAGAGAACCCCAGCTGGGAAGCTGACAGAGACCGGAAGTAGGCAGGCAGGCGGATCAGGCAGACGCCACAGCACATGGGATGTGCCCAGACTTGGCCGAGCACAGGTTCGGGCAGTGATACTGTGCGGCCTGGACTTTTGGGACCGGCCATGTCAGGAGCGATGAGGAAGGAGCTGAGCAGAGCTGGGGTCTGACTGTGGATGGGAGCCGAGCACAGCAGGGGGTCTGAGGACCAGGGAGCCAGGGTCCAGGAGGTGTGGCTTGGAAGGCCAGGGGACGTCCGCATGGGGTAAGGGAGGGGTAGGCCGCAGGCGTGGTCTTGACGCTGTGGTGGGCCGGTCGCAAGAGATCCTCAGACTCAGCCCCTCCAAGGGCCCCAGCAGCTGTCTCCGGTGGGAATGATGGGTTGCTTGTGTGGGAGGGGACTGTGAGTCACGGAGCCCTGCCCCAGGTCCCCCCCCCAACACACACCCCCCCCACCCCCAGCTGCCCCCTCTCTGCATTGGCCCTGTGATGTCAGGTTTCCACGGCACCTGGGGAGGTAATTATGGGGTCTGACGTGTTTGGCTCCTGACGGGCTCATGCAGCACGCGGCCCCGTGACTCATTAGCTGCCAGAGATGGATATTCTCAGGGCTCTGAAGTCAGCAGCCTGAGCCGGGCGCTGCCAGAAGGAGCCTCGATCTCGTCCCTCACCCATGTCACTGGGTGGTGACCTTACGTGCAGGAAACGAGCACCCTGAGGTTCAGAAATGCCCCCTCCCTGCTCTAAGTCAGCTCTGGAAGATGATGGGTCTTGGTGATGGGAAGGTGGTTGGACTGGGAGTTCCGTGCATGATCTGCTCGCCCTCCCCAGGAGGAGGGAGCGGCAGAAACCGCCCTGTGTGGTGGCTGAGACCCGGGGAGCCTCCGGTCCACAGCAGGGCAGCATGCTCTGCCTGCCCCGGGCTGTGCCTCCAGAGCAGTCTGAAATCTGGGATGACCTAGCCAAGACAGGTGTGAGTCCGACTCCAGCAGCAGAATAACGTAAGCCGGTGCGGGCGCAGCCGACGGAGGCCCCGTGCTCGGCATGCATGCTTCTCGGGCTGGGGGCCCAAGGAAGGGCCTCAGTGGGAGTGGGCATCTTGGGCAGAGCCTGGGGGCTCACTGGTCCTGGCCTCACCCCCAGCTCTACCTGCGGGAGCTGCTGCGGCTGACGCACCTTCGCTTCTACCAGCACCTGGTCTCGCTGGGTGAGGACGGCCTGCAGATGCTCTTTTGCCACCGTTGGCTGCTGCTGTGTTTCAAGCGCGAGTTCCCCGAGGCCGAGGCGCTGCGCATCTGGGAGGCCTGCTGGGCCCACTACCAGGTGAGCCAGGGCCAGGCGGCTGCACCCTGCGGGGGGCGCCCCAGCCCCCATAACCCACACACCCGCACCGCACCAGGCCCCTGCCTTCTCGTCGTCCCCAGGGGCTGCCTTCAGACCAACAGCTCGCCTCCCAGGTAACTGAAACAGATGTGAATTGCCCACTGACTGTGCTCATTACCACGTCCTGGGGCCCGGCTCCCTGCTGCCACAACCAATCAGTGTGAGGGTGACATCGGTGAGGGTGAGCAGGCCCCCTGCAGCCCCGGCCACCAGGCGCTCCTTCCCCGCTCGCTCAGGACCGCGCAGGGAAAGAGTCCCTGCGTCCCTGTCATCCCCTCCGGAGAGCCCAGGACCCACCATCCCTCCCCAGATTTCCACTGCAAAGCCCCCAAGAGCGTGCGTCCCTGGCCCGTGGCTTTAACAGCCAACTTAGCAACAAGCTGGCCATGTTGAAGGATGCGCAAGTCTCTCTGGATCCATCAGCCTTAAAAAAAAAAAAAATAGTATTGACACATCCGGGAGGTGGCCAGGATCCTTTCTGCAAGAGCCGGCTCTGTTCTCGCTGTGGAAGCCGGCAGCTTCCATTAGACAGGCCTCGGAGGTCGATGGGACGCCCGGCCAACCCGCAGACACATGAACCGGCGGCTGCACTCTTGCTGGTGTTGCAGGAGGAGCTTCTCTGAGGGCGGCAAGTCCCAGGAAGCCGCACTGGTGCCCCAAGCCATCTCCGGACCCGCCTGCCCGGGCCCCTGACCCGCCCCCTGGCCCGGGTCTGGCCCTGCTGCCTGTCCTGGATTAGTGTGCCGGACCACATTGGGCCACATGGGCCCTGCCCCTTGATGACATTAGTGGCGCAGGGGTGGGGAGGGGCGGGGGGGTGGGTGTAGGCTACTTCCTCAGGAGTGAGGGCCATGGGGGGGGGGCTCTTTTGAAGTGATCCCTCAGAGAGAAAGGCTCTATTCTGTTTACTACTCATGTGTCTGTGGGGGCTGGACTGCCCCAGGCCTGTCCCGTGAGTGGAATTAGTCTTGTCCTGCTGCCCAGCCCTGTGTGGGACATGCCTCACCCCTTCCTCCCCACACACTTGTCTCTGAGAGGAGCTGCACACCCCCCTTCCCGGAATCCTGCTGTCTCCCACCCCGGGCCAGAGCGTTCTGAGCCAAAGCAAGAACAAATCCATTCCGGATTAGTTCACAGGAAGGGGGCAGGCAGCCCGGGGCCCCACAGCCTGGGGGACGTTTCTGTCCAGAGCAGGCAGGGCACGGGGCATTGCTGACTCTGACCTCAGAGGAATTGTGGGCTCCGCCCGGCCAGCCTAGCTGTTCCGTCTGGCGGGCCAGTCGACATTGGGAGACTAAACATGGGCTTCCTGCTGCTCCTTACTCTTCCTCTGCCCTCGGGGGCCAGTGTGAGTCAAAGGCAGCGCCCCCTCCAAACATCCGGGCAGGGGAACACACAGGATGCGCCCCAGTCAAATGCCAGCCGACGGAGCGCCGGCTTCCTGCTGCGTGCCTGGTGTTGCTGGGCAGTGGTGTGAGGTGGTCTCCAAGGAGGGCAGCAGGGTCCCCGGTGGAGTCCTTGAAGAGATAGTGAAAGACAGCCGGATCATGGTAACCCCTCCGTGGGGGCCGTCAGGAAGCTGTCTTGCTCCTCTCTGTTAGGATCTTCTTGATTTCTTAGCAACAAACCTAGGGGTCATCTCTGGGACAAGAGTTGGGATGTTCAGCCTGGAGGGAGGAAGACACTGACCAGAGGGTAACTGCCAGAAAGTTCTTTCTCGCTGGCCTGTTCCACAACCCACTGGGGCATATTCGCACCCAGCCTCTGCGTGCACCTTTACGAGCTCTTCTCAGCGCCTTTATGAATAGACTTCACAATGAGCGTGCACCAGCCCTCAGAGGACGCTGTGACGGAATGCACCCAGAGGGCTCCCCAGCAGCAGCCCATGGGTAGCACGAGTTTGTCCCCTTTGCATGTCACAGCAGCCTTTGGGTGTAGGTACTGACCGTGGCCCGTGTGCGGTGGGGAAACAGGATGAAAGAGGCTGGCGGCTTGCCCAGGACCACACGAGCCCAGACAGCCTCACCCCACAGTTCTGCGCTCAGCCTCCACCTGGGGCCTTATCTGAACCCTGCTCTCCTCCTCCTCAGACGGATTACTTCCACCTTTTCATCTGCGTGGCCATCGTGGCCATCTACGGGGATGATGTCATTGAGCAGCAGCTGGCCACCGACCAGATGCTCCTGCACTTTGGAAACCTGGCCATGCACATGAACGGGGAGCTCGTTCTCAGGAAGGTGAGTGCCTGCCCCTCCCCCAAGTGTCCCCACCCACCAGGCTTGCAGAGCCCCACCCCTTGGCCACAGAGCCCCGCCCACGCCCCAAGGCTTGGACGCAGGCCCCGCCCCGTGTGCGCCTGGGGGCTCTCCCTGCGGAGGCCGCTGCACAGAGCTAGTTCACCATCAGGCCCGGACACCAGAACCTCCTCTGCTGCGTGGAATGAACAAATTATCCGTCTTCGTTGACAGCCCCTCCCCCCGCCCCCGCCACCTTGGGGCACCTACCTCACTCACAGCCCAGAGCCAGGCAGATTGAGAAGGCAGCTTTGGGGGAGGGCCGCCCTGTCTCATCCAAGGCTAGTGGAAGGAAGGGGCACCACGCTAGGCTTGGCCACACCCCACTTCCCAGCCTCCTGCCTGCGATGCCGCATGTGAAAGCTCTGTAGTGGTCTTCGGGAGCTTTAAGGAGCGACGCAGGGGCCAGCGGTCTCATGGGTAGGAAGTGGGCACAGCGCTGCCCACTACAGCGGGAACGGAGCCCGCAGAGGCTGAAAGGCCGAGCCGCGGGGCGGCCGGAGCGCTGGGGCATCCTAGCTGGGGGCTGAGTCGGAGGGGACAGACCCAAGGGCAGGGACTGCCCCTGAGGCGGGCCCCTGGGCCGCCCTTGGCCAGCCTGCTCACCCTTCGGATGAAGGCCTTTGGGAGCCTGCCCCACCCCCACCCCCATTCTCCCTTTGCAGGCCCGCAGCCTGCTGCACCAGTTCCGTCTCCTGCCCCGCATCCCCTGCAGCCTGCACGACCTGTGTAAGCTGTGTGGGACCGGCATGTGGGACAGCGGATACATGCCCGCTGTGGAATGCACGGGCCACCACCCGGGCTCGGAGAGCTGTCCCTACGGGGGCACGGTGGAGACGCCTTCGCCCAAGCCCCCCAGAGACGGCAAGAAGGGCCCAAAGGTGCCTCGGGAAGGCTTCGGTTTCCGCAGATAGGTGGGGCTCCCTGCACTGGACGAAGCTGGAGGGGACCTCCGCAGTGGTCCTGGGCACGTGGGAGGGGACGGGGGATGGTAGAGAAACATAAGGAAAAAGACTTGGGGCGACAGGAAGGGAACATTTTCATATTAATGACGTAAGCAGAGTCTCGAAGTGACTGAAGTAAGGCCCACCAGCTACCCAGAGAAAAGTCACCTCCCAGAACAGTGGGGCCGGAGCGCGCGGCCCTCCGGCCTGGAGAGGCAGGCTGGCTGGCTTCTTGGGCTGCCTGCCCGTGGTGGGTCTCGGCGTGCCTCAGGGACTCCGCCGCGGCATCAGCACCGGGCGGCACTGCCAGGCAGCGAGAAAGGCCTGCTCCCGCTGCAGCACAGGGACTGCAGAGCAGAAGGGGGCCCCATCCAGGCCAGGGACATCTTTGCAAGCTGGACACGCCTCCTTATCAGGCCCCGTTTTCTGAGCGGGCCAGTCTCAACTTTGCACAGTTTCATGAAGATGTCTGCAAAAAAAAGAAAAAGAAAAATCCCGGTGACTTCACGATAGACAGGTGTAGGAGCAGCCTGAGGGTCTGAGAGGCTGGGGGCTCTTCAGTGTCCGTTTACACATTTTATACTCCTGGTATGTGAAAGAACCTGCCTGCCGCTGAGCCCGAGCCTCAGGCTGTTGGGGGTTGTTGGACCCCTCTCCCGTAGTTGCGGGGGATGGTTCTCCCTGAGGATCTCTGTTTAAGGTCAAGCTCACCCAACACAGCAGTCTGCTGGGGGCCGCGTGGGTTGGGCTGTGTGGGCGCCGACGAAATCTCCTCTGTCTGAGGGAAGTGGGACTGCATTAGCTGAGCACCCGAGACAGAAGCATCCAAGAGGCCTGGAAGGACCCCCGCTTCCCTGCAGGGCCTGCACCGTGTGACCGGGGGCCTTCTCAGGTAGCATGGCGCAGCGGCGACCCCATAATGTAGCCAGCACTCAGGACACCGCTCCCACCTCCAGAAGATTCCTGTCGGGGGATCCTTCTGGGATTTAGGGAGACGGACAGAGGAGGGCGTGGGAGCTCCCGACCAGCTGGAAAGCATCCAGCCATCTGCACAGAAAGCCACTTCTTGAGCTGGTGGGCTCACAAAGGCTTGAATCCTTCCCCGAAGCCTCCTGCAGCACCTCGACGGAGGCTTCTTCCTGCTCTCCACTCCTCTCCCTGGAGAGTGAGCCACGCTGCCGGTGCCACTTTAAAAAGATGTTTATCGACAGAAGAGAGGAAGTTACCGGCCTCCTCCTTCGAAGCTTGTCTATTCTCCATGAGCTAAAGTCCTCCAGCATCTCCGAGTTCCCAGAGCCTTCTGGGGAGAGCCCCCTGGAGCCCCCTCAGTCCCCAGATCGTGGGGCGCTGGCCATTTCAGCCCTGCAACAGGGTCCAGGCTGGGTGGGGTGGACTTCTCACCTGCTCTGCGTCTGGGAAAAGGGGATTGCCTTTCTCTGCTGGCCCCCGTCTGCTGCGGAAAAGGTGCTGCACTGGTCCTGCGCTGGAAACCGCCTCCCTGTGAACAGGAGTATTGGTTAACCACCGCGCTGCAGCAGGGCTGTGTGATGAGTAGCCCCCAGCCCCATCTCCCACACCGTCCAGGGTCAGCAGTTTAGACTGGGCACTTCTGGTCTTGGCTGGGTGTGTTCCCATATCTGGTCAGCTGATGGTTACATCCCAGAGGGGCTGCTCACGTGTGTAGAACTCAGACCTGGCACCGTCTCTTGCCTCCGTGCTGCAAGCTCACCCCGGTCAAGATAAAAGCGCAAGAGCAGAAATGCACAGGTGCCTTCCTAAGCCTCGGGGGAGGCCACTCCTGCTGTCATCCCATTGCCAAAGCGAATCCCATGGCCGGACTCAGCATCCAGAGGTGGGGGGAGTGGACCCCTCCCTTTAGCAAGAGGCGCTGCACAGTGATGGCAGGGGGCTGGGAATTCAGAGGGTGAGGAGCTGGACTGTGGGTACGGCTGCCACCCCCTCCAGGAACTTTTGGGGCTCTCCTGTCAGGGGCAGGACTTCTCCCGGGAAGGCAGGAGATGCCCAAGGGGCAAGAGGATGCTCCTCAGCCCCTCCTGTCTAGGAGGTAGCAGCCGTGCATTTTTCTGAGATACCTTGTGCCTTTGGGCTGCTGTGCATGTGGGGTGGGGGGTGTCCAGGGATCCCTTCACTTTGGAGGACCCTGGATACAGAGCATTCACGCTGAATCTCCCAGCTCCCACAGCTCCCCAAGACCCGTACCAAGTGCCACCCCGCCCTCACTGCTCCCGCCTCACACCCCTGCGCTGAGCAGGGCCCCAGAGATCTACGCCTCTTAGAGCAGCCAGAATCTCAGAAGCCGAAGACCTGGTTGTGTGGGCTCTGGAGGGCTGGGGAAGGCCTGCCTTGCAGGGCTCCCTTAATCTGGGTGCAATTAGAGGAAACCAGCCAAAAACCCTGCAGCCCCAGGATTATTCCCAGCCAGCAAAAGGCATTAGGGTGATAATTCCGTCATTAGACTTCTAGCCTTCCCACCTCCCAAACGTGCAAATATGGGATAATCAGCCCGGCACGGCCATCCTCGGTGATGCTGCTTATTTAACCCATTTTTTTTAAATGACACTTAATGTTATTGGCTGGTGTGCGTGTGCATGCATACTTAATTTCCCCACCGCTAATGTCTGTGCTGACGTTCCAGGATGTCGCCGGGGCCCCTGGGAAGAGAGGGAGCCTTTGATATGCTCCTCCTGGCATAGACGGGGCAGCATGGCAGGGGCTCGCCGGCCCAGGGAGGTTTCACGCTCCCAGGGAAGAAGGGGTGGCAGGAGGATGCTGGGTCCCGGGAGGGTGGGGGATGCATAGGGTGGCGGGGTTGGGGCCTGGTTAGGTGCAGAGAACAGTGTGCTATTCCAGAAGGCTCCAGCTCGAGTCCCAGCCAGGAAGACTTGGAATCCACAAGTTGTGGGAATTGGTGTCCTTGAGCCCATCAGTGGGGGTGGAATGGATGGGGTGGGGAGGGGCCCCAGCCCACCTCTGCAGAAGGGGGGGTCTGCAGTCCAGGAGGGGAGGCCTAGCTCCATTGGCGCGCACATGCACACCAGCCCTGTCTGCACGCCATCAGTAGGCATGTTGTCCTGGTCTGCTGCAGACGTCAGGCAGCATGCAGGTTTTCAAATCCTGACTTCAGGCACGTGTCCTTTGAGTTTTTCTGTAAGAGCCCAGCCTGAAGCCCCATCCGGGGCGGGCATCTGGACAGGACGAAGCTTCTGGTCCTAAGACAGAGGCTTCTCCCAGGCTAAGTGGCGGTGGCTGGCAGAGGTCAGCCACACTGATCTTCGACAGGTGGACGTACGGAAATGGGGCAAAGACTGGGGGCCTTCGTGGTGGGGGGTGGTGCTCTGTGGCTTCCCCCTCGGTTTTTGTGAGGTCCCTGCAAGCTCTGGTGGCCATTTCTTTTTGGTAGACGTCTGTGGCAGTCCTCGGGATGATGGGAGTCTGCTCAGGGCAGTGCCCCGCGGAAGCCTCGGTCCTCCATCTGGCCTCCCTCCCCTGCAGGGAGGCTGGCGGGTGTCAGGGACACCAGGGTTCACCCGGCGAAGAAAAGGAAACTTCTTCCAGTCTGTCTGCCCAGCAGAGGCCCCCGGTGGCCGCCCCGTAGGGAGAAAGGAAGAGGCGTTCCCCCCGGGAAGACCCACACACATGTGCAGGGGTGTGGACTGAGCCAGAGGAGGTGGCCCGAGGCCAAGGGAGGGACCCGAGGCTGGACATGCCACATCCCCAGAGATTCTAGGGAGCCAGACAGCCTAGGATCCCATTAGGCCTGTGTTTCTAAGCCACACGACAAGGTTGTCCCTTAAAGTGGAAACATTCTGTCTCTGAATGTTCCTGGCTCAAAGGGAATGGCCCCCAAACTAACCAGTTTTTGTCCTTCCTAATTGTGAAGGCTGAGACCAGGGCGCCCCCTAGGGGATGAGCAGTGTTGAGCCTCAGTTTCCCCACCTGTAGAATGAGAAGGATGACGCCCACCCACGCACCCCACTGATGGTCGGTGTGAAAGCTCTCCTGAGGGGTGGTTTACCAAGCCCCCTGGGCCGTCACCCGCCACTCAGGGAAGAGACCACCGGCCTTGGCCTTCAGCAGCTTTGCCCAAGAGCGGCAGCGTGCCCCCGACTCCGGAGCTCTCCCAACTTCAGAAGTCAGCAAAAACCCACTCCCTCTCATGCCCACCTTGCTGCGAATACCCGGCCGACGGGAAACCTCTCTGTGCCTCTTCTCTAACGTTCACCCCATGCCGCCCCACTCCTGCCACCAAGAAAAGTCAACCATGATCCATAACCTCAGCGCCCCTGCAAGATGTTCATCTCTTCAGCGGGAATGTGGTCCATGCGTGCAAGGTCTTCCCCCTCCGCTGTGAAAACCACCCAAGCGAGGACTCTGGCCTCCTGGGTCAGTGCTGTTGGACCCGGGGAGGGGCCTCCCTGGGCCTCCAGGGAGCAGGGCAGGGGTGCACACAACCTGCAGGCATCGGGCCCTTTAATTACATCGCATTGAATTTCTAGGTGGGAAGAGAACCTTCCAGATTCAAAGAGAGCTCAACCACAGGGCTCTCTTCCCTCCAGCACCTCTGCTTAGAGGGCAGGGCTTTGCGGTTGAAGGAAAATTTTAACGAAACATCCACCATTATCAACAGATTACTGTTGTCCATGGCAAGCAGTTCTTTCTCTGTGTTTTGTTCCGTTTTGTGACTACAGCTACCTGTCAGTCTAGCCCTGCCCCCGGCCCAGCACTGGTCACCACAACCCCCTGGTCACCATGACCCAAAAAGTGTTTCCAGCTCTCATGGATTCCCCTTAAAAAGTAAATAAAATCACACTGATGACAAATGGATGCTATTCGGCACCTCCAGAAGGTCTGGTGGGGTTTGTTAGGCCCACACGCGGCAGGCTCTGGTGCTCGGCGCAGAAGGCCCCCCACGGAAGTGCAAGGAAGGCCCGCAGATGCTTCTTGGGGGTTCCATGATGGGGGAGGGGAAGGGGCAAATGGTCGGGGGTACAGGGGGTGCAGGAGGGCAGGCCAGGGCCAGGAGCAAGGGTGGCTCCTGCCTCTGCCTTGGAGAGGTCGGTGGGGGATTTAATGAAAGGCTGGGGAGGGCCTATGAACCCCCAGCAAGTGGGGGCCCCTAGACTGGCCCCAGCGCCTGGAAGCACACACGGTGTTTTGTTGAGACCCAGCTGCCAGGGCTCCGATTTCAGGAAAAGCTGGAGTCTTGCATTTGAGAACTTTTGTAAGGAGGCAAACAAGGTGAATTTGACCTTGTTGCAGGGGGGTGGGGGGCATGAAGCTGAGAAGCTGTGTCAGCTCCTCTCACCTCATGAGCCCTCCGAGCCCTCCGAGCCTTGCTGCGGGGCCAGGCCCGGGCACTGTGGGAGGGTGGGCAAGGGGAGGCTGGGGGTTGCTCTCGGTTCTCCTGGAGCACGGTGGTAGGGTAACGGGCTCCCAGCCCTCATGGCAGCTCCTTTGGAATTCAAGCTGGTTTTCCACTGTTCTGTGTGTACCTTTCCATTCTTTGTCTGCAAGGGGCGGAGGGCAAGTGCGAAGCTCTCCTGGGTGTCTGCACAGCTGGGTGTCTCATGTCTGCAGGGCCCGCCTCACCCTCCACCTGCCTGGCCTTGGCCGAGATGTCTGAGAGCTTCGTCAGCCCATCTGCATGCCAGGGGTGCCCCTGCCTGAGGCTGGCTGGGCGGGGGCAGCAGGGCAGGCGATGCATCAGCCCTGCATGGCTGGTGGCACCACGTAGGGAAACCTTGGTCCTTTTTGGGGGGTGGATGTGCTAATTCCCCATCATGCTGGAAAGCCAGCCCCTGCCTTAACCTGGAACCTGAAGCAGGCAGAGATGGTGCCTGGAACCCAGGGGCGAGAGCAGCTCATCTTCCGGAAGGGATGGTGCAGACCCCACAGCTCAGTCCCACAGAGGGAACCCCCACCATAGGGCTGAGGACTGTCCCCAGCCCCACCCAGAAGGGCTTTTCAAACCTGTAGGGCGACTGGCTCCCTGGGTCTGGTCCAACCAGGATGTACCAGCAGGATGTTTGTCTTTGCTCCGCTCTGTCCTCCCCTAAATAACAACCCAGTAGTCACGGCTACAGGGACAGCCAAGGGGACATGCCCAGGGAGCCAGGCTCTTCAGGGCCAGCCCCGGAAGGGCCCAGCCCTCTGCTTTCCTGTGGTCCCAAGGACCTGGCCTGGGACCGGCTTCTACTGCGGTATAGACAGCCGTCCACACCGCACGACATTTCTACCCCTGCTAGCGACGGAGGGGATGTTCCTGGGGGTCTCATTCACCTCGAGTGGCCATCCTGTAGGGAGGCCTGGTGCCATTGTACTGTGGACCTGCCCCAGGGCCTGAGCGAGGACAGCAGGTGGCTGGGGTTTCTGGGACAAGCATATATGTGTCCTGCAAACCCTCCAGGGAGCAAGGACAGGCTGGTCAGTTGCCCACGCCTTCGGGGCCCACGGGGCAAACCGGAGGCACCCTGTGTGTGAACGGCCTCCCCCCACGCTTCTCCACAGGTGTGACTCTTACCTCAGAGCCCCAGGTGAGCCAGACATGTCACATCAGGAGCCCCGGGGACCAGTTCAGTCTGTCATTCCTGGTGTCTGTCCTTCCCCACCCACCCACCTAAGGACATGCAGTGAGCAGGGATGGGAGGGGACTCGCGCCAAATACACAGGGCGCTTTCTACTCCTGGCCCTTTGTGGCCACGGAGCCGCCCTGAGTCCAAGCCCAAGGAAGCCCGTGAGGTCTAGCTCTATTCTCTGGCTGAGGCACCAGTGTGGGCATCTTGTCCCGGGGAGGGGAAGCCTCCAGACCAGCGGCCCCTCCACACACGGAGCGGGAGACCCCCCGCCAGCCCCCTTCACTCCTGGGTTCAAGCTGCCTCCCGCGCCTCTGGGAGCACCGGGCCTCAGGACGGACCCTGCCCCCCGGGGGGGGGGAGGGGGCTGCAGGGTGGCTGCAGGCCCTTCCCACCACTGAGAAAAAAACCTCCTGGAGATGACAGGGCACCAGGCTTGCAAGGAAAGTGCAGCGAGAGCAGAGGACAGTTGTCCCTACGCATCAACCACACAAGCGACCTCGCGATTGAAGGGCATGTGTGAGCCTTGCCTGTGGGCACGTGTCCATCTGGGGCTGCAGGGGGAGCAGGGCTGCGCAGTCACTTTCACGCCCTCTGCAGACGGGAAGACACCTGCCGGTGGGCTCGTGAGCCCCACCAGGTTTGGCACTGGGACACCCCAGAAGCCCCCTTCCCCACCTGCTTCCCCCTGCATCACAGGAGAGAGCTCAGATCTCTGGGCTCCTGGTGCGTGGACTGTAATTTAGACAAAGTGGCTTGAAAATAGGCCACTCGGTCTCTGTCTATGATAATACATCTGCTTGACAGGTCAGAAGCCACCGCAGCTCTCCCATCAGCAATTTGACACTGAACAAAATAGGGCGCTTTTTATTTTGAGTCGTTGGAGAGAATGGCTTAGTGATTTTCCAAGTTGATGTTTGGGTGCTGAAATCAGGATGCTGCAGCAGGGGTCGAGTGCCGCGGACCGGGGACAGCAGCCCCTCGGGTTCAGAACCCCCTCAAGCCAGGAGAGACACGTGCAGTGCAACAAAATGGGAAGCCTTCCCCAAGGACCAGATGTGAGGTCTACTGATAAAGTTCATTGATTCCTGGCCATGACTACGCACAATAGAAAAAGATACCAAGGGTCCTTGTGGCCACAAGTTCGTGATGAGTGAGCTCAATGGTCCGGCAGTTTTAAAATCTAATGGTAGAAAACGGCGATGGGCGAGGGCCGGGGAGTCCTTCCGGGGTGGGAGGTCAGAGCTTTGGATCGGGCTCACTGGACACCTGTGGTCAGAATCCGGACGCCAGCTTTGAGAAGTCAGGTGGAAGATTCTGAGAGGGTTACCCCCGAGTGGCTGACCCCTCAGTGTCCCACCACTCTGCCTTCAGGAACTGTGTGGACTCCTGGTGTGCAGTTCGGTGTTGGTGGGGGAAGCCTGTCCCCCACTGGGCTCCTCACCCGACAAGGCGCACAAGTGCAGGATGGGTTTGGGGGGACAGGCTGGAGTGCTCTGGCTTTCTGTGTTAGCTCAACTGGAAGCCAGCTTTCGGATACACGGTCCCAGTGTCCTGCAAAAGGAAACCCAAGTATCCTTGACAAACAACTAGCTGAGTCCAAAAACCAACCAGGAGCAAAGAGTGTGGGGTGGGTGGCAGACGGGGTGACCCTTGATGGCATCCCCCCCCAGGGGGCAGTTCCCAGGTATCTGGCCCCACCCTCTATTCTGCCCACCTCTGTCCTTACAGGAAAACTTGAGAAGGAAAGTGCCGGTGACCCCCAGACCCTCTGGGCAGGTGCCCTCTGGGAGAATTCCAGCCACCTACCCAAATAGCAGGGTCAGTCCTATTTCCAAGCATGTTCTTTCAGAGCGCTTGCGTCTTCTCGTTGTGCTGATAAATCCCCAGGTTCTGTGAAATGATTAATTTAGATGGGAATTTCCCCCAGTTCTTGGTCTTACTGCACAGCTGGGCTACATGGCCACCTGAGCCAGGCAGATATATAGGGGTGAACTTTTAGGTCACAGAGCCGGCCAACCTGAAGCAGAGTGGCGAGGAGGGGGTGGGGGGTGTCTGGGGTGAGGGTATTTCCAGGGGAAGTGGACTCTTTGCTTTGCAGGGGGTTGAGATAGAGAAACTAGTTCATCTACATTGTGCCTGGGATGCACACCTCACTGCTATTGACAGGGATGGGGTCTTTCAGGGTGCATGAGGCCCAGAAGCTGGACTCCAGTTAGGGCAGGTAGAAAGAGGCGCTGCCCCCACGGGGTCGTCTTCAGGTGACTGCGGGTGGGACGGCTCAGCAAGGCTGGGACTGGGTCCCCCTCACTTCTAGCCTGCAGCTTCCCCAGCCCTCCTCATCTCCCCTCCTCGGTGAAGGATTCTGCAGATAAGAGTCTTACCTGTAGGACCACTGCCCTCCGCCCTCTGGGCCAGACTGCAGCCTCCAGGGCAGCCCCGGAGAGTTCCCAGGTCCCGGAAAGGATGGGAGGCTTACAGTCTGGAATGCAGTTCTTGGTTCCCTGCACAGACTCGGCCGGAATGCCAAGGTCAGCTTGTAGAGTGGGCTCCTGGCCCCCCACAATCTGGTTAATGATTAGAAGGGACACTGCTCCAGAAAGAGTCCCACAGACCCCTGTGACTTCCGTACCCCCAGCCGTGGATGGGTACCTAGGAGATCTCGGAGGACCAGACAGGACTGGAACCCCCCTCCCCGAGGGGTGTTTTCCTTTCTAGAAAGCAAGTTCCAAAGCCCTAGACACCAGGTAGCTTGGTCACCAGGCTGCCCCTGCGTCCCCCAGCTCCTCCGCTGTCCTCATGAAGCCGGGTGCAGACCTGGCCGTGGGATCCAGCCGCACGGTCACGTCCCTGCAAAGCCTGGGCCTCTCACCGGGTATTGCCGCCCCCTCTGCCCCAGGACGGAGGCAGGAGGGCGGACACTCACGTCCCTGCCTCGGCCCACTGGCCTCCCAGAGCCTCCCACCCACTCCAGCCCTTGGGAGCTAGGGTCCCCGCGCGGCCAGCCCCACTGGGGCCCAGGGCACGAGGAGGCACGTGTGGGCACAGTGGGGCCACTCGACCTCAAAAATAATCCTCTGCACTGATTCCCATTTCCCTAGAAGCGCCCGCACCACTCGGAGCTATCCCATTTTCTGTAGAAGGGGCTTTGTTGCTGTGTCTTTTGATTTCACACCCAGCGGGCCTTTTCTCCGCGTGGGGATCCGCGCCGCCGCCAGCCGGGTGTACACTCAGAGCCCCCATGTGGGCAGGGAGGGGCACCGAGGGGGGCGGCGCCCAGGACAGGAGCTGGGGGGCTCCTGGGGGGAGACCACTCAGGGAATGGAGGGGATGTGAGGGGTGGGAGGGCTCCGGGAAGAGGGGGGAGGGGAAGGGGAAAGGAGGGGCTGCCCCCGACACCCCCACCTCTCCCACCCCCGGGCCCACCGATCTAATCATATCAGGTGTGCTCCAGATAAATATTAATAACCCAGTAACAGAGGGAATTTGGGAGAATCTAATTAAAAGGACACTGTGCAAGCTGGCAGCCTTGCCAAAGAGTCAACCCCAGCGAAACCCGAGGGCCAGAAGAAGAAAACACACTGAACCCCCAGGAGGCTCTGGAAAGGAAGGTGCACGGCCACACCTACAGGAGAGTTCTGCGCGCCGACCTGCCCCCGGCACACCTGCCGAGGGCAGGAGGCTGGGACAGACCAAGCCTCTGGCAGGGTGGGCGTCTGGCCCCAGTGCCCTCCGAGCACCCTGGCCTCCGGCTTGGCCCCCGCATCCCTCCCAGCCCCGCCCCTGGGAGCCAGCCTAAGGCTAGGGCACCTCGGCCCGCGCCCCAGAGACCTGGCCCCTCGCTCCTCTGCCCACTCAGCCTTCCCCTTGGTGTCCGTCTGTACACAGCTGACAGTCTCTGTGCAAACCAAACATGCACCATGCCCCTCACCCTCCTCCAGAGACCTTGGAAGAGCCCCCGGGGACCTGGACTTCCCTGAGCGCCGGGGTGCGGCCTGTCAGTAAGGCCCACAGCCCTGACCTCCCCCTGCAGGGTCAGGCCCCACCGTGAGAGCTGCCCATGCTCACCTTGGGTAAATCCTCCTCCGAGTCCAGAGTTGGGCCCCAGCCATGGCCCCGGAGCCTGGCCAATACCCCTTGTCATGAGGACTCACGGCTCCCGGGCCCCTTTTCTCTTGAAATCAAGATTTTGGAGGGGTCCCTCATGTGAGTCAATGGTGCTCTTTGGCCCTTGGTCGACTTGGCTTGGTCCAGCTGGAGCGGGAGGAGCCAGACTGCAGGGCAGCCGTGGACGACGACGAGGCATGCTCTGAGTGCAGCCGCGGTACCCCCTGGGCTCCTCCATCCAGCAGCCCGCCCACCCTCCCTCGGGCCCCCGGCCCTGGCCCTGGACAGGCAGGCACCTGGGCTTCTGGACCTGACCAGCAGCAGCTTTCTTCTGTGCTTGGAGTAAATGGGCCTCCCTGTCCAGTCGGTGTTGCCCCTGTGACTCTCTGCAAGAGAAGCGCCTGGCAGGGGTGGGGCACTGCTGACCTGTCCCCTGGCAGTGAGGAGCCTTCCCTGGGGAGGCCGGCAACTCCAGGCTGGGTTCCACCCTCCAGGCCACGTCCTGTTGCCTGGAATGCCCCCCAGAATGGAGAACTCGCCACCTGCCAGCAACGCTACTTGGCCCGGACACAGAGAACCCAGCGCGGGCGAGGCAGGCCCGGGGGGGTGGGCTCGTGAATCCCAGGGGCCCAGCATTCGCGTCACCTACCTGCAGGACCTTTCCGTGTAGCATGGCCCTCAATTCTCACAGCAGCCAGATGGGGGCGGTGCTGGTTTGACCTAGTTCTTAGAGGGGGAAACAGAGAGGTTAAGTCATTGGCCTAAGGTCACTCAGCAAGTGCCCAGGTCTTTCTGATTCTTCTTTCCCCATGCTTGGATAGTGTCTGGCCAAGGGCGTTGGACTGTCCTTCCCCAGGGAGGGGACACACTGAGCACTGTCCAGACAGGACCTTGAGTCTCTGTTTACTGAGACCTGACCTGAGCCACCCATTCTCTCCCTGGAATTTCCCTCATGCCCTCCCAGGCAGTGAGGAGCAGGCCGTGGGCACTGAACTTGCTGTGTGACCTCAGGCGGAGGCCTCCCCGTCTCTAGGCCCTTGTGACAGTGCAGGACACTTCTATGACACACACAGAAGTGTGATCCCGAGCCAGAGGACAGAGGCCCCCGGCCCTTAGAGGGGCTCACCGGCCTCGCCTCCCCTGCTGGAACCGCAGCCCCCAGCAGGGGGAAGCCCGCGAGCCCCCTTCAGACCACCCAGGCTGCGGAGGGCCAGCTCCCAGCGCTGCTCACAGGCGGCTGCTGAGAGACCGCACAGGCTCCAAGCCCCATGAGCAGGGACCCAGCAGGTGGGATGCACCACGGGGCTGGGTCCTTCGGTGCGGGGAGGGGGCAGGGGCCTGGTGACAAGGGGCAGCTCTGATGGAAGGGGGGGCCACTAGCTTCAGAGTCCCCCTTGGGGCAGAGAGAGTGGTTCTGAGAAAAGGGGAAAGAGGATGGGCCCCCCGGGAACCCAGCGGTCCCAGGGGGCAGAAGCGGGGACAGGGCCCGGCAGCGAGGAGTCCATTCTGAAGGAACAGAGGCGATGCTTCACACCCGCCCTGCGGCGGGGGGTGCCGTGGGGGCGTGCCGCGGGGTGTTCCGCAGGGGGGGTACCATTGGGCCGTGCCGCGGGGGCGGGTGCCTCGGGGGGTGCCGCAGGAGGCGCGGGGGCGGGGGGGGGGGAGTGGGCCGCGGGAGGCATGCCGTGGGGGGGGGGGCGCCGCGAGCGGTGCTGCGGGGGTGCGGAGTGAGAGCTCGGGCTCTGTCGCAGGCCTCCCGGGGTTGGGTCCTCAGCTCTAACACGGGGTTGGGTCCTCAGCTCTAACACGGGGCTCTCAGCGCCCCGCGCCGGGAGACTAGCAGCAGCCTGTTGTACAGCAAACTCCCAGGCCAGGTAAAGGATGTGTTTTCAGACAAGAAAGGAGGGGAAGGGGAGCTGCTCACCCGCAGAAGTGTCACAGACAGATTGGGAGCCACGGGACAGGCTGCTGGCGGCACTCCGCCCCTCCCCCACACAGCCTCTCCCCAGCGCCCCACCCCCGCCCCTGCCCTCTCAGGACCCGGTGGGGCCAGGAAGGGGGAGACCCGGGCTGCCTGACAGATGCTCGTCACAAAAACTCACCCAGCAAATACACAGGAAGCTTGACAAGCTCTGCTGGTGGCAGGAGGGGCCCCCAGGGAGCGCGTGAGCTGGGGGCGGGGGCGGGCAGCAGGCGGGGAGGGCCCAGCCAGGCCGCAGGAGTGCCTCTCCCCACCATCAGAATCTGAACCCAGGCCTGCACCCTTGCCTTAAGGGGGCCCGCATCCCAGGTATAGGACTCCTGCTCGGGGCAGGAACACAGAAGGGGGGTAGGGGGCTCTGTGGGGTCCTGGCCCTGGAGACTTTTTAAAACTGGGAGTGCCTGCAAATACAGCGTACGGAACATGGCCAATGGCATTGTAATAGCATTGTGGGGTGACAGATGGTGACCCTCGTGGTGAGCACAGCGTAACATAGAGACTTATCAAATCCCTGCCTTCTACACCTGAGATGGGGTTGCCTGGACCCCTCCCAGATGTGCAGGGAAACGGGGTGGGACCTGTCTGTCTGAAGGTCTCCTGGAGCCTCGAGTAGACACCCAACCCTCTCCTCTAAGGGACTGCTCCCTGTTGAAGCCCAGAGTGCCCCCCCGCCCCTTCTTTGTCTCCCACCCCACCCTCGGGCTGACCTCCAAGCCTGTAGAGGTGCCTGAAGAAGGGTTTCCAGCACCCAGCCCCTGGGTGTTCTAGGGGGCACAGGGAGGTACCCACCCTCCTCTCTGGGGAGGCACTGGGACCCTGGTGGTGGAGCCTGGCAGGAGCATCGGGCACCCTAGGGCTCTTCCCTCACCCTCCCCCCGCCCCGCCTTGCTTTTATAGTCTGGAAACCACAGAAGGAGAAGCTTCCTGCATCTGCAAGCTTAGAACTTGGCAGATACACAGACTTGCAGATTTTCTAAAGTGCTGAGTTGGTGTGGCCATGAATGTCTCACACCTTAGAACAGAAGAACCAGAGTCCTCAGCAGCCCCCAGGTCAGACCTGTCAGACCTGCCCTGCCCGCCCCACCCTTTCCCCGCCCCACCCTTTCCGCCTTCTTTGGAGCCTCGGATGCCCTCTCCCGGATCTGAGCACGCGCAGGCCTAGTGCTGGACCAGGCGGCCCTCACCTGCGCTCTGCAGAACCCAGCCAGGCCTGAAGGCCCAGCCCAGCTGTCACTGCATGCCTGCCATGGGAGCGGCCCCTTCCTCTCATTCACGGTGACCCCCCACACCCCCCTGCAGCTCCAGCCAGGTCCATATGGAGAGCAGTGTAGGGAGGGGGGGGGAACCAGGGCAGGGGAGGGGGGGGGGGGGAGGCGGGGGGAGGCGGGCAACAGTTCTGAGGTCGTCTCCCACTGGGATCCCAGTGCCGCCTCATGTTCAGGCAGCACGGGACCCCCCTAATGGGAACTCTGGCTCCAG